ACTTTTATTATTTGTATTTTGTCTTTTATGTTCCCCCTTTTTTCCCCCCTTGAATTGTTCGCCGCCCTGAGTCTTCCCGGAGAAGGGCGGCATACAAATAATACAATACAATACTTTAATTTACAAGTTTATTTTGTAATCTTTGCTCCCACAATCCTGTCATCTTGTCTTATGTCTTTGTCCAGTATTTCATGCTGGCCTGCTTTGTTTTTTTGTATTTCACATGTTTTGTTAGACTGCTATTAATAACTATTTGTGCTTTCTGTGAAGTGTAAATCAATCTTACCCATTTTTAAAGTACTCTCCAAAATTCATAATAGTTCAAAATCTTGTACAGGAAAGCACAGTTCAAACTGTCAAAGGTTTTTTCCCCCCTGAATCTAAGAAAATCAGTGCAGTTTGTTTTTCATTATGATGATTCAAGTATTCCAGAATATTTTAAGGTTGTGCTTTTAACTGTTTTTTTTTTCTGTAAACACATTGATACGTATAAACAAACTCTCGCAAAATTATTTTCAGTTTGCAAGCTAAAGTTCTTGTGAATAACTTGTAGTCAGTATTCAATAATGATACTGGTCTACAGTTTCTTGTTAAAGTCAACATTTGTCCCTCTTTAGGCGTTAATGGTATTTTGGCCTCTTTCCAAATTTCTGCATCTTTCTTCCTTATGAGTTCATTATGTTTTATAAAGGTTGTAAAAGTTCATCCTCAAAACAATTATAATAAGAACCTGATAATTCATCTAGTCCAGGCACTGCTCTTGATTTAATATTTTTATAGCTTCAGAATCTTCCCCTATAGGTCCATTCATAATCTCTCTGCTTCTCTGTAATCCTTCATAAATTTTCTTTGAATTTTATCTTTTTTTTTTCTCAGAGAGATGTCATTTCCTTTATAGAACTTGGAATAATATTGATGAAATACTTTTTGTGTGGCTGTATCCATTAATACAATACCTGCCTCTTGTACTTTCAATTCATTTTGTTTTCCTTTTTTTGTAATTTATATGCCAACCATTCCCTTGCTTTGTTTGCAAACTCAGTTTATTTTTTGGTTTATATATTTTGTTTTTATTTTATTTCTTCTATTGTTAAGTTACAGTTTTTTTAAAGCTGGGGAATCAGGCAACATTTATTATCTATAGAATTCATTATCTATACAACTAGTAGTATAGTTTTTATTATCTATACTATTAAGATTCTTGTATCTGTAACTTTTAGATGGGCAAAACAATGCATCATGGGGCAAAACTTTTTCACACAAAATACCTCAAATGGGCTAACTTACAAAATGTGTCAGACTCCAGAATCCATTACGTCTCTGGAATTTTAAAGAACTTTCCCAATACATTAGAGGCTCTGCTATTGTTGAAGATATTGAGGAAGCTGATAAGGAATCTGATAGCCCTAAATTAATAACACAACAGGTCAAGAAGTATCTAGGTATTTTTATTATTAAAATAAAATTTATATTTAATAACATGAAAAATATCAAGGGGAATATATTTTTCCATGTCTGTTCTATGAACCAAAATTATCAGAAGATTATAATGATAAGTAATAATATAAAAATATAAGTATAGTCAATTCGCAATTTAATGGGTTTATATGCCGCCCAATCCCAGGGGACTCAGGGTGGCTTACAAACACGAATGAAATAAAATAACACACAGGGGGAGAATACAAACAATACAAACAGTATTAAAAACACAACATACATCTGGTTTAATTGGGGGTTGAACTTGATTTGAATCAGGTCAAATAACATTTATGAATCTTCTAAAACATTAAATGCTTTTGGGATGTGTGTGGAAACATATTTGCTTCCTTGCTATAAATCACTCTCAGCATTCTAAATAAAAAGCAAGATCATAATCTTACATATGACAGAATATACATTTTTTTCAGCAAGTATAACATTCTATTAAGATAAAACTGATCTGAATGCCAATAATGTCTGTCAGTAAGTGGGCTCTATTAACCTAATATATGCCCAATATGCTAAAAAGGTACATGCACCTAGAAACATGCCAGGTATTTGATTCATGAAATTGGTTTTTTTTCTGAATATGATTCATTTATTTTTTTTAAAATTGTAAAATGGCTTATTTTTATTTTTAATATTAGTTTAAACAGTTTGTGGCAATTGTAAACTATGACATGGAATATATAATACGATAGATGGAATATTTTTAATTACCTTTAGTAAGATTACATTGCATATACATATATAACTGCTATATTTTCTTTTCTAGAACAACTCTTGGAATTCATGCATCAATTACCAGCTTTTGCTAACATGACAATGTCAGTGAGAAGAGAACTCTGTGCTGTGATGGTATTTGCAGTTGTAGAAAGAGCAGGAACCATTGTTCTAAATGATGGAGAAGAAGTAAGTAGTATTTGTAGCTTCTTCTCAAAGTAACATTAAATTTATTTCATTTTACTTCATATAATAAATAAATTATTCATAAAAATCATAGATACATTACTGAACATAAAATACATGCATTGGGTTACAATATTAACATTAAAATGATCAATACACCATTTTTGTATGTATTATGGAAATGAATTTCTTCATTCAAATATAAATAAATTTCTGAGTAGATACCACAGGTAATTTGAAATGTATGTGATTAAAATACTGGGATTCTCTATCCAGATCTTACTTTGTGTAGATTATAGCAGAAGTAAATCTAACTGTAGATAAGCAGTGTGTTTGTAAAGCACAACTATATGACTTTGTGACAGCAATTCCTACAGTTCTGGCTCCCATTGTTAATTGAATGCCATAATCATTAGATGAGACAACTTTCTGCTGGCTTCCCACAGCCAAAATCAGCTTGCAACTAAAAGTTACAAGTTCCAGGCTGGCAGGCAGGCTGAGGGAAGGATCAAGGGCAGAGCTGGGTTTCTGCCAGTTCATCCCAGATCGGGCGAACCAGTAGTGGTGGCAGCGGGAGGCTCCATCCACCCCATCCCCCAGACATTTCTGCAAACAGGTAGTAAAATAAATTGAAACTCACCAATGAGCAATGGGGTGTATGGGAGAGAATCAGGTAGGGGTATGCCAATGCAGGGGAGGGTATGAGAGGATGCATGAGAGATGTGGAATGGGTTGAAGTGGATACAAGAGTGTGTGCAAGTGATATAACATGAGTCAGGGACAGTGCATAAATATGTGAGGGTGTGTGAGAGAAGTTTGGGTCAGGACATGAAGAGGAATCATACGTCGGGGAAAATGCAGCATAGGTCAAGAAAAGTGCATGAGAATGCAAGGGAGTACATCAGAGGCGAGACGTGGGTTGCACAGGTGCTACAGGAGAGTGAGTGGCTACTATGTTGCAAGTGCAGAGGGACTAAGGTAGGGTACAGTGTGTGAGCCCAGTGACATGGGACATTCATTGCCAGCTTCCCCATTGATTTCTGGGGAAGCCTGCAGAAAAAGTTGCAAATGGCAATCATGTCATCATGGAGTGGTGCAGCCATTTGTAAATATGTATCAGTTGGCAAGCATTCACGTTCAGATCACGGGGTGCTGGGATGGCCAGAACTCTGAGGACTGGTTATAATTATAATTCATTGCTGCCGTAACTTCGAACATATGAATGTCCATATATTGGGGACTACCTATTACTTTATTTACCCAGGAAATAGCTCAGAAATGAGACCAGAATATCGTTGGGTATCTTTATTTTTTGTCGACTGAATGTGTAAATTGTTAGGTATTTAATTGGACTTAAAGCACACTCATCTTCACCTAAAAATTTGTATCCTATTTGATTCAGTGTATTGTTTTTTCCCTATTTGCAAGCATTTATTAGAAGAAAACTGATAATGTAGTTTTATCTTGCTTATCTGAAATAATGTGCTTTGTTTTTAGCTTGATTCCTGGTCTGTTATTTTGAATGGTTCTGTAGAAGTAACATATCCAGATGGAAGAACAGAAATATTATGCATGGGAAACAGTTTTGGTGTTTCTCCTACTATGGACAAAGAATATATGAAAGGAATCATGAGAACCAAAGTGGATGACTGCCAGGTAGAATTCAAAATCTGAGTGAACCATTAGAAGAGTTTACAAATTTATTATGATTGGACATTATTAAATCTCTGTGCCTTTTGTGTTTCACCCCACTGTTGCCAGAAATAGACTTTTGTCCTTTCTTTTCAATTATTAGTTTCATCCTATGTCTCTTGAATAACCTTCTATATATACAGATTACAGACTTCCTAGTTGTCTGAATCTTACTACATCTATATATCAGTATGTTCTTGGAGCCACCATTCATAAGTGTATATGTGTTTGCTATAATTCTCCAAAAAAACTGTCTATATTTTTTTTCAGAAATGCATTGAATTCTCTTTAAGATTTCCCTAAGTAGGCACTTTCCTCTGCATGACTAATTCCCCACCTAGCACAGGTGAAAAGTCCACATATCTGGAAAATGCCATATTTGCATTGAAATTTGTTTATTCGAGAAAAGGAAGGGATTGGTAATATGAGATTGTTGTGATAGTATTTATTCAAATTGAATTAATTATTGATGCATTCTCATAAACAAGAAACCTAATACAGTTTTCCTAGTTTATACAAATACTTGAGGTAGCAGTAATTATTATTGCACATTCCTCTTCTAAAAAAGATGGCCTAATTTGCTATTCTAAAATCAAACAAAGATTCTAGAAATATATTGGATTTGACTACAGAGTATTAAAAATAGCATAAATACATTAACTCTGCTAAGATTATAAATGTAGTTATTGTGTAATAAGCACATTGAAGTTATAAATCTTAATTTTGAATGGAGATCCAAAGGTTTGTGATGAATGCTATTTATTTTTATTTTTCTATTATGCTTGAATTCTCACTTCATAATTTATATTAGGGAATTAAGGATAGCACTGTAGCTTTAAAATTTTAAATATTGTTGATATTTGGATAAAATTCAAAATAATTAATGCGCTGTTGCAAACCTCTGTTCCCAGTTTGTATGCATAGCCCAACAAGATTACTGTCGCATACTGAACCAAGTAGAAAAGAACATGCAGAAGGTAGAAGAGGAAGGGGAGATTGTTATGGTAAAAGAGCATAGGGAACTGGATCGCACTGGAACAAGAAAAGGTCACATTGTTATTAAGGTATATATTTTTTTTACATCACCATGTATGTAATGGGAAAAAAATGAATACTGTTTATGGAATATTTGTATGTTAATATTATAATATACAAATACTGCCTTATTTTCAATGGTTTTAAGCATTTGTAATTTTTAAGAGAAAACTGAATTCTTAGATATATTCAAATATACATGCAGTTTCCCTTTTCTGGTTAAGTATTGTTATGCCGAATCCAAAAAGGAAGTAATCTATAGTAGATGTCAATCTCCAAAAAGCAAGAAAGATACGTTGTGACCCTACCATATAGGTTTATTTATTTTGCTAAACTAAAGCATACCAACTCCCCCATAAAGCATACACTCTGAAAACTATTAGGGAAGAGCTGTCTTCACCTTTTTTCTCTCACGCAAGTTCTCTGAACCAAATTGTCTATTGACTGAATTCTTTGTTGGGAATCTGGACTACATTTTATCACATTAAACAAAATGTAAGGAGCGAGATAAAGAAAAAAATGAAGCTAAAATTGTTTATTCCAGCACCATTCAGTATAATACTATATATAGCTTTATTTCCCACCTTTACTTGCTTTACTGCATCCCTACACCACCAATTCCTACATACCTTTTTAAAAAAACATCCTCAGTCTCCTTCGAGAACCTCCTCAATGCCATCTATTATGTTCTGATCTTCCCTCCTTTTCTCAGCCTATTTCCTTTTTCTGCCATATATTTTCTGCAGTTTAATCCACATACATTCTCTTGTGAATAGTAGTCACTCACTTCAGCCCATACCTATTTGATATCTATTCATTCTTGAAATTATATTTTACTACAATACTTACACTTCCCAAGTACTCATTTCCACTGTATTCACCTTACTATAATGTTTCTTCTGTATTCTATAAAATACTCTAATCTCAGTACTCTATAAAAGAAGTTGGCAGAAGCAAGATTTTATATGCAGCCAGTTTCATATTTTTCAGGAAGCATTCTTTCCTCATAACAGACCAGATACTATTCCTCAGTTTCTAATAACACTTGCAGATCCTAAGATATATAGATTTCACCATCTTTTGTAAATACTCTACAAAACTACAGAAAGGTATCTGTCTAATCTGTTTTTCCCCCCACATTTCACTTTCAACCAACCCGTCACTTTAACATAATCATGAGGATTTCTTATCTATCTCTCTATAAAGGGGGTACTTGCCTTACTCCCTTGTCACAATTGAACTACCCTCTTTTACTTTCATGCATATTTTAGTTCCATTAAATGCCACTCTTAGTACATAACCTATAATCCCACATACATCCAAAAATTTCATAATTCAAAAGCTTTATCATATGCTTTCAATAAATGCACAATAAATATTCTTCTTACATGAATGTCCAATATGATGGCATAATAGCAATAGCACTTAGCACTTAGACTTATATGCCACTTTACAGTGCTTTACAGCCCTCTCTAAGCAGTTTTTTTACAGACTCTACAGACCCCAACCATCTGGGTCCTTATTTTACCCACCTTGGAAGGATGGAAGGCTGAGTCATCCTTAAGCCTGGTGAGATTAGAACTGCCAAATTGCAGGCAGGCGGCCATCAGCAGAAGTACAGTAGAAATTTCGGTCACAACTATAATCCGTTCCATGACTTGGGTCGCAACCCGATTTGGTCATGTCCGGAAGCGAGATTGACTATATAAAAGAAATGATGTAGAGGGGGAGATTGCCGCAGTTGGGGAAATCACCACGGTTGTGTTTGATCGCCACTCGAGTATTTGTTCGTGACCAGATGCAAAAAAAAAATGTGAAATTTTTGGTCATCCCCTGATTTGGTCGTGGTCAGAAGCGTTCGTGACCAGAGGTTTTTCTGTAGCCTGCAGTACTGCATTCTAACCACTGTGCCACCACTTAATACTTTCCACATTTTAATCATTTCTTTTACTTATACCAACCATTTTTTATTCTTATAC